TGTTTTTCTATTTTTCTAATAATTTTTGACTTTTATTTTAGTTAGTTTTATTACTTTAATTTTTGTTATTTACAATGTACCATACTAATCCCTCTGATGATTTTGGCTGTTTAATAACGTTATTATAATAATATTTGTTATTGTAGTTGAGTTATTTAACTCTATCTCATCAATGAAGATAGACATAGACTGATTGACAGACACATACATCTCACTGCCATCTATGCAGTAATAGTAATAATATAAAACATCTGTTGTCTGGAAGTTTCTCACTGGCAATATGGGTGGGTGTAAAATGCTGATTGATTATCCAATGCTATCCTGCAACTTAAGGTAGAAGCCTAGTCATAATTTTTGACAAAATTGATCACAAATCGCATGACAATGTTCATTAGTCTATTATGTACAATCATGAAGCTAATGTCTCATGGCACAATGAAATAGCATTATTTTGTGTGTTACAGTTATGCTTTTTGAGAAACGCGTCCTAATATTTCTTGAAAATTGCTATTTTTAGAACAATTCCATAGAGCACAATCTTAAAAAAAAACTGCATTTTTTGACACTTTTTAAAACCCAGATTTTTTAAATAATTCAGAACAACAAAAAGTACTCCATCATTAACAATATATGATTTTTTCAGCCTATGTCACCAGGCTAGATTTTGAGATATTGCATAATATCTCTGCCATAGAAACCTGTGGTAAAAGCGTTATAATAGTGTCAAAAGGGTGATTTTCCACTAAAATAAAACTATCAATTTCTCGAAAAAAAAGGCTGGTGACACCCAACTTTTTTTAGGTCAATATCCTTATATTGCCTTGGAGTACAATTTATTGCAAAATGAATAAATTCTGTTTTTTTTAATTTATGAGTAGGCTTCTACCTTAACTAAGTCTGGCAACTAAACTAATACCGGTAATTCTGCATGAGCAGTGAATTAAACACATGTACAGTGAGATTAATTGGTATATGGTTTTATATTCTTTGTTACGCACCTTTCACTTTCAATTTATGGTATAGAGGCTTTGCAGTGACGTCACAAAAATCACTAGGCCGCCATGTTGGATTACAAACAAACCATACGCAACGAAAGCCACGGGGAGGGTGTGGGGTTCTGTTATTATTACATATGTTCCATAGGAAACTTTTGTAAGGGATAATCATGATAATATGCTTGAAATGAAATCAAATTACTATCCGTATATGAAGTAAGTAGATTTAACCTACCACTGACGAAATGATCAGAGCAGACACGAATGTATGGAAGATTTGATGTACTGCAGTTTATTTTGATTCGTCCCTGAAATCAAAATCGGTATTTCCACAACCCATATGCAAATGAGGTCCGAGAGCAAACAAAGTACATGTAGTCCCTTCAGGAGTACAGTTTTTCGGAATAAACAATATTTAGAAGTACGATATTTTCCCCTTGGGGTACATGAATATACTTGCCGAGTGACATGAAATTTGAACAACAGTAATGGTACTTTTAGGCAGTCACTTATTTTGGCCCAAACTAATTTGCATATCACCCATGCAATAATGTTTTCGGTATTTTCACGGTCGATATGCAAATGAACATGGTATTTTCATTGGCTACCGAACTATTTTTATTT